CTACGGAGCCAAGGCACAGACTCTCGCAGCACAGAACACCGTGGAGGCCGAACTGCAAGCGCTGAGCTTCAGTGCTCGCGAGGCAGTCTACATCTCCAACTCTATGACGGAAATCGGATTCAAGACCTTTCGATCGGTACCAATGAACAGCGACAGCACCGTAGCATTGACTGTGACCAGCAACGCGATGTTCAGCTCTAGAACCAAGCACATCGCGCTCCGGTTCTTCTTCCTCAGGGAATTCACGAAGGGGCACCGGATCACTCTTCACCACCAACCTAGTGCCACGATGTTGGCGGACATCGCGACGAAACATCTCCCGAAGCAGCGATTCGCCACCACCATGCAACTCATCAAGGACTACAAGTGCTAGAAGATATTAAGCACAAGATCGCATAGTATGGTTGAATGTTTTGGACGCGTGTATTGCTCACAGGATGGATTAACTTATGTGGAGGTCGATATTCTTTGATGTGGATTGGGAATCGAGGGGTCACAAAAATGGCAGCGAAGTGAAGTTTTGGAACATCGGCTACTTGCCTCATCGAGGGGTCGTGTCGAGGAAAACTGTTACAACGTAGTCAGGCACAGTTTACCATAGGTGCGACTGCGGCAACTAGCAGCCTTCCGTAGACATAATACAGAAAGAAGAGATGGTACTCAGCAGAGAACATGAGCACAGAGTTGTAGCGGAGATAATTTGGCAGGCGAGACTGTAGTTGTTTTATTGTTCCGAACCCCGAAATTCCGGTACTCTGGCCATTACTCCTGAGACCCTCGGAACCTGCTGTGTTTTTGCTGCTTGTTTTTTGTTTTTGTTTTGTTGTTGAGATGAAACACAAGCGCGCCTTCGCCCCTTGTGCTCACTCTCATCTAGCACCCATCAAAGCCTGACCAGGGAGTCAGTTGATAAGAACATCTATCTACATTTCTCTTTCCAAAGCTCGCTCGGGCCTACCGATCTCACAGCAGTGTAGACCAACCTCTGTGATAGAGCGGTGACAGCAGTGTAACCTCTGTGGTAGACTACAAAGTCCACGAGCTACAGCAGCACCGCCACCTCCGCTGCTGCAGGACGCCACATTTTGTGAATTTCGAACGCACAGAGCACGCAATATAGGTCACGGAGGGAAAAACCCATCTCCACCCATGGTGTCGAAAATCCGGGGATACGTCATTTTCATCCCCGGATGTCAATCGTTTTTGTATTTTTCTCAATTTTTTTCTTCATTTCTACTGTATTTTACGAATGCCCACCAAATCTGGGGTCTTGAAACGCTTTCAAACGTACGAAATCAACCAATGATGAAAGTGGCCTTCAATACCCCCAGGAGTACTTTTCTCTCAAAATGACGCCTGCAGCTCAGGTCTACGGCTCCAGCCCTACCTCGTCACTGTTGACGATAGACTATTCTTGTTCTTAGGTAGGCGGGGGGTGATCTTACCTATCGCTCGATACCACAATGTCATCGAAATTGGACTTCCTGCTCAAGAACGAGCTTTTAGCGCAGGGGGTGGCTTAAGTGGCCTTTGATACCCGCCTCTACTCCTACAACCTGATCACGGTACAGTACATATTGATTTGCTGGTGCAGCTACAGTAGTAAAGACTAGACCTCAATTTGTTCTTGCGGTGCAAAGAGCAAACCCAATATTTCTTGAGCGGTGACGACCAGCAGATCGAGCATCATCATCAGCATTGACGGCTAACGAGGCTTAGTCTAGTACACTCTAATGGTGAGCATGCACCATGCCACTCACCACACGTTGTCAAGCCATCTGCAACGTCCATAAATGTGGGTGTAGACTAGTACTGCTGCTGTAGAATTGCGTTCGTCTACAATACCCCGCGGGTAGCGGGGGTGGCCCGGCGCCACGACGACTGGGATGAACACCATGTCCCACCCCACCAAGGAGGCGAAACTAGCAGAAACACAGTGACCCCGACTGTCGTGGCCCCACGAAGGGTGACGGGAGTTGGCATCGACCCGGGCTTTGACATGGGAAGCGGCCCAGAGGAGGAAG